GGTTCAGGGTGTGAGTTTTTGGAGGGGTCAGTTGTGCCTGTTGGATACTGTCTGGCTTCAGTCCAGCTGGAGGAGAACCTATGATCCTGCAAGAGGTTGATGAAACCTAAGGCTCTGTCTCAAGACCTCTCCCAAAACTCGTCTTTTATGAGGAATCATGTGCTTTCCACTCACAGGGATTGGTATACGCATGCATAGCACCCAACAGCTTTGTGGGAAAGGCTTTTATCATCCCTATTCCCAAATCCAACAGCTGCCCAGTTTCACCAGCTGTTCTTGGACAGCATAACTACCAGGTTCTCACACCCATGCAATTCAACCTTGTCTAATGCAAGGTGTCCCTGCCCACTGAAGGGGGGGTTGAAATGAAATTTTGAAGGTCCATTCCAACCCAAACTGTTCTGGGATTCCATACCAATGCTTGCTTAGCATCTCATCCTCAAAAACATGTTTTCCAGACATCCAGACCTTCCTTCAAACATACTCCTTACTACCACTGTCAATATCCCCTTATTCTTGTGGTATCACTCTGTTCCCACTCAGGATGTTTCCCCTGCCCTTTTCTTAAACTGTCTCATTCCAGTATAGGCCAACACAGGCTTTGTGTTCCCTTGAGCTCCCTTCAATAAGTATCTCCAAGTGCACATACCTCTTACAACCCTTCCCTCCCTCCTTTCAGAATGTCTCAATCTCCAGGATGTCCTAATCGAAAATGTCCTGTCTGAGCTGTATCTTCACAGCTCAGATAGTTGTGCTGCAAATGTAATGTACTTTCACCCTGTTAAGCATCTAATTAAATATATATATCTTTTATTAAATCTGTCCCATAAAACATGGAGTTTTTTCAAAGTGGATCAGATTAATGTTCCTTCATCTAAGTCAGGTCCCCTCCTACCAGAATTTGCATTCAATCTTGTTTGCCTTAATGTGGTAGTAGAGTGGGTAATAAGTTTGGTTTTCCATTATTGGTTACTTCTGTTTTATGGCTTTGAAAGAGAGGTGAAGAGAATTACAGTTAGGATTCAAGCCATCCCAATAATGTTTCCAAGTTCATTACTGTTGGGAGAATAGTCTCAGTTTGAGGCTGTGCTCCACTGGAGAGAGTTTTCCACCACGACTGTTATAGGAGTAGTGGTATCTTAATATGGGTTTTTCTATTGTTTTGATGGATAAAGAGAGAGACTCTTCAAATCCTTGGAACAAAACTTGAGGGTAATTTTCACAAGAACTGTCCATGGAGGCAAATGGCCACCTAAAGCCAGCGAGGCTTTGTTCAAGACTTTGAAATCTAGGCATATGTTAGTAGACATAATTAAATAAAAACAATAATGTTCAAGTAAACAATCTTATAGCAAAATTTAAATATTTCCCTGTTGGGCTTATAACCAAAATATAGGTGTATCACTTAGGATGGGCAAGCAAAACACGTATTTAATCTGTGCTTTGACGGCTCTAGACCTCACAAAAGAGGGTTGTACGCACTGACCACCACTTAAACATTTTTGTCATCCACTTTTAGTGTTACCTTAAAGTAATATGTGTTACCTTAAAGTAAATTACTATGGGACAGGAGACATGAGGGAGAAGCCTAAGGCTGACCTTATAAAATTCTTTCCTTTACACATAGCACACACAGAACAAATCTACTTTCCAGCCAGTCACCCCAGACTCTCAGCCTTGTTTGCAGTGCACACTCCATTGTCTATTAGCAGCTGGTTCAGAAGCACAGGAGGAGTTTGAGGAGGTATAATGTAGATAAGAGTAATTGCTGCATGGCTGGGAACAGCTGTAGGCTGATGGTTTTGATTCATTTTGGCTGGGTTTTTTATTTTTTATTTTTAACTGTCTGCAGAGTTTGTGGAAGGCTGGGAGGGTTTGTTTGGATGCTCAGATGTCTTTCAGTAGTTAACACAGCTGGGGGAACAGACAGTGCTTGTGTTGACATACCATTCATAGTGCTAGAAAGATTACAAGAAAAAGTTGAAAACAGATGGATTGTTTTTCCCTAATAAGCCTCAGTTCAGGGGGCGGGATGCTTAGCACCTATAGGCTGCCTTCTTGCCCCAATCATAGCCTATTGGGGGAAAAAAAGAAATATAAAAAACTGCTGTGATAGCCTGTCAGGTGGGGTTGTGAGCTGAGTGCCTTGGCATGGCTAGTGTCGAGGAGAGCACCGAGGCCTGCCCTGAAGAGACAAAACGGGAACCTGCGGCACGTCTTCAGAGAAGAAGGAGGAAGGGAAACAGGAGGTATCGGAAGAGTCAGTGCAAGAAGCATCATCAGAACCCGGAAGGATGCCAGAGACTCGAGGTAGGTTTCTTAAAAGTTTGGAGGAAAGAGAAATGTTGGAATGGTTGAAATTTTGGTAAGATGACCTGGTAACTGGGGAGTGCAAGCCTAGAGTTGATGTGTGTGTGTGAGGAGTTTCGATAAAAGAACAGGATTTTTGAAGAAGTAGAGCAAAAGGGGAGACTGATTCTTGTTACTGTAAAAGCAGAAGAGGGAGATTTGAGAGAAATTTCTGTGTGGAGATAATGGAATAGGAGAGGATATGACTGTGGCCTATGCTTTTGTGAAGTAGGGACCTAAGAAAAAATGTGAGGAGGACCAGAAATATAGTTGTTTTATTTGGTGTTGGGGTGTGTGGTTTTTTTGGTTTTGTTTTGTTGTTGTTGTTTTTTTGGTTTTGTTTTGTTTGTTTGGGGGTTTTTTGAGGATATGGCTCCAGAGATGTGTAACAGAAAGGTTGCGAGGAAAAGGTGGAGGAAAACAAAATACAATGAAGGAACTCTAAGAAAAAAATTAGGATAAGCTACTATGTAAACTCTTATTCTCTTATGCATGTGAGGTGTTAATCCCCGTTATCCAGCGGATATCGAGGATGGAATTAATGGGAAGATTGAAAGATGTGGTTATGAAGTGAGAGGTGAATGTACATGAGAAAAGAAATGCCCGGCTCAGATGAGACCCTGAACATTGTTGTCTTTCCCAGTGTCCTTGCAGGAAGGAACCTGTGAGGGTGTGCAAAAAGGACAAGGAGAAAGCTTTGGTCTGGTTGTACTTTAATGATCTCAGAGAGCCTAACCTACAGCTTGCACCTTTAGTCTAGTATTGAATTGCAGGGAAAAACAAGCGTTTGATGGACTTGGGAGTTGAACTTGTACAACGGTGTGGCAGATAGCATGTTTTATTAGCCTGTGAATTCTTGGTTTTGACTAACAAAAGGGGCTTGAAGTTAATGAAGTCCATAAGTTTAAACCTTCAAGGAAATGGGTGTCCTACAACCAAGCACAGAACCAGTTTATGCAGAGAAGGACTAGATATCTGTGCCTATGGTTAAAAACTTTAGCAAGCTAAGGGTTTATTTTGGAGTAGCTGACAGTAAATAAAAAGGAAAGCCTGTTTCAGAAAGCTATTGCAAAATTACCATTAGTAATGGTAATTATTGAGTTTCCTGGTGTCCAGGTCTTGTAGTAGTATTAAGTATCCAGAGCTGGTGTGTACGGTAGAGATCAGTATCCTCTAGAAAAGCTCAGCTATTTGTTCCCAAAATTGTCTGCCAGCATCCCCCCCAGCAGAGCAGCCTGTACCCTTGGCAGGCTAGTTACTGTTGTAGTCACTGCTTTGAATCTGTCAATTGTGCTGAAACAGCTGCCTTTTGATTCATATGACCAAATATGTCTTGCATTTCAGACCTCCTTTCTCTTCCAGTGTCTCTTCATTTTCTTGTTGGGGTTGGTTTGGCTGCTTGCCTGTTTGTTGGCCAAGTCTTTGCTATTTTTTATTGCAATAAATTGGTTGTTTGGTTTAACGGCCCAGTTGCCAACGAAACTGAATATTGTGACTAGGTAATTATTGTGACTAGATAATGATCTCTGGCTGCTTTTGAAAACAATATTCTCAGCTGCACCTCGATGTTTATTTTTCTGTAAATGTCTCAACATTTCCCTTGCAGCGGGAAACCCATTATCCAGTTTTTGAAGCTTACTGCTGGTGACATTTTCCCTTCATTTTTTATTAATAAAATGTGCTGCATCATCATTATAACACAAATTATGTGCTCTTGATTGGAGGGATAAACTGAGAAAGCTGTAAAATCATAACCTTTCCATTTAATCCACTTCAATCGCAATACCAGGTTATTTTTTATTTATTATTTCTGTGATTTGCTGTTTTTCTTTTTCTTTTTGTAACAGAACAATTCTGTTGAAGAGCTGAGTGTTAATCCTGACGGGGAAGGAGCATTGCAGGTGTGTCCTTTTCTGGGCTCCTCAGTACCAGAAAGGCTGGAGAGAGTCCAGTGAAGGGCACAGAGATGATTACGAGTCTCCTCTGATGAGCAGAGAGTAACTGCAGGAGCTGCAACCTGTATAGTCTAGAAAACTGAGAGGGCATAATTAATGCACATAACCATCTCAAAGGTGGGTGTCAGAGCATGGTGCCAGACTCTCTTCAGTGGTGCTCAGCGACAGGATGTGGAGCAGTGGCCGTAAACTACAACACGGGAAGCTTCACCTCAACACGAGGAATAACTTCTTCTTCTTGAGGGCGGCAGAGCACTGGAACAGCTGCCCAGGGTGGGCGTGGAGTCTCCCTCTCTGGAGACATCCCAAACCCACCTGGATGCCTTCCTGTGTGACCTGCTCCTGGTGACCCTGCTTTGGCGGGCGGGAGGGTGTGGACTGGATGATCTCCAGAGGTCCCTTCCAACCTTAACAATTCAGTGATCCCACCGGGATCACGTCCACGACGGCTGGATTTCCTGCCGCCCCGCAGCTGCTGCAGGAGCCCCGCGGAGTCAGGGCCGGCACCGGCAGGTGTGTCTGCGCCACAGCGGGCCGATTTCCCTCGTGGTTCCCGGTGCGTCTGTGCCACGCCGGCCCTGTCTCCCCTCATGGCTGCCCGCTGTGTTTGCACCGCAGCGGGCCGGTTTCCCCTCAGGGTTCCCGGTACCGCAAAGGGCCGGTTTCCCCCCGGGTCCCCCCGCGTCCCTCCCTCTTCGCCGCCGGCCCGCCCTCCCCGTCACGTGCCGGGGGCGCGCACCGGGTGCACGATGATGGTGGCGGCGGCGTCCGGCGGCGGCGGGTAGAAAATGGCGGATTTCGAGGAGCTCCGGGTGAGGGGGGAAGGAGGGGGCGAGAGGCGGCGGCGGGACAAGATGTCGGCGCGGGGAGGGGGGGTGTCCGCGGCTTCCCCGGGGAGGGACGGAGGGAGCGGGGCCGCCCCGGCTTCCCCGGGGGGCGGCGGGGTCTGCCCGGGGGGACCCTCCCTCTCGGTGCCCGGTTCTCCATCTCCGCCGCGCGGGCTCTGCTGCTGCCGCCGCCGCCGCCGGGGGGGTTCTCCCCGCGCCTCCCGACATTTTAGAGCCGCCTCGGCCCTGCCGTGCGGCCCCCGGGTTCGCATGGCGCCTGCCGGGAGCCGAAGGGAAGGCGATGAATAACACCCGGATTGCTGAAAATGCTGATAGTTGTGGAATCTGTGGGGATCCGCGGACTGCTTTCCCACCGGGAGAGCTGTGCCTGCGGAGCGCGGTGTTGGCTTTTCAGACCTGTTTTATCGCTACTTCAGTGTCTTTCTTGTTGTGCTGTAGCAGATTTGTGTGTGTGTGTGTGACCTTTCATTTTTTAAGGTGTGTACACAAAAAGCTGACTGCACAGTTTATGTTTTTCCTCCCGTTTCCTGAGCAATCCGCGGGTATCTTTGTTCGGAAGGAGGAGGTTGTTCCTTCCGCAGCATCCACACCTGCAGAAGTGGAATTCTTCCTGGGAATTCCTCTGGCACGCCAACCCCCCCACCTTGTCCCCCCGACCTAGACTTTGCTACAGAAGGAGTAAAATCGGGTTAAATAGGAACCGCTGTGAGCTGGGCTTCAGTTGAGAGGAAGGTCTGAGGGCTGAGCTGATGTTGGTGCGACCAGAAGCGGGAAATGTGCTGCAATCGCCAGAGAATTTTCCTGCGCCGAGGCTTCTTCCAGCACTAACACGGCTGGGGTGCAGCTGAGGAGCTCGCTTGTAAAAATATAATGGGAAGAACTGAGTTTCTTTGTCTGAGGACAGCAGTGCTCTGTCTCAGTTTTAGGTTTAGGAATGGTTGGTTCATTTTTTCCTCAGGTAACCTTATGTTGTTTGTTTTTAATTTTTCCCTTTAAACTTGGTTGTGTTTTTGCTCGGTGTCCTCATTCATTCTCAACCCTCATTCCAAGGTGTCTCAAAGGATTTAGCTAACGCCCCAGTGTAAACTTTGTGGCAGAGGTGACCCTTCTTTTATCTCCTCCTCTTCAGGTTTAAGTTGGAGCTGTGATCCATGTTTCCCAGGGCACTGTGATGGATATCCATAAGTATTGATAGTCTCCTTCTGGGAATTAGATACCTAAATACCTTTGAAATAAACAGATAATTAATAGCAACTCACCTGAGTTGCTTGCCAGAAATAGTATAGGAGGTATGGAGGGGAAAGGGAACTGAGTTTCAGGCTGGCTGCAGGGCTGCCCTTTCATCACTCAAAAGAGAAGAGGTGCCACTAGTTAAAAAAAAAAATTGTCTGAAGACATGTTTTTGATGTTCCCATTCATCCTATTTGTAAACTGGAGTGCCTGTGGGATGAATCTGTTAGCCTGGAGCTTTTCTAAATGTTCAACATACGTTTGATAATAATTCATGACCTGTTTTGGGAAGGCTCTAGGTATTTTTTTGGAAGAGAATGTAGCAGTCTGCCTCATGCCTGCAAGGCCTTAGCTGCCTTTTTTTTTCCATAAAGAGGATACATCAGATACACCTACGGCTTAGTGCTTTGTAACAGTATTTCTGCTGATTAATCATGGTTGCTAAAGTTTAGTAATAAGAAACAACAAAACCTGAGAAACTTCATATGACCTTCAAGTGTGAATTTTAGGGGGAAAAATGTTTCTGGAATATAAAAGTGCTTGAATTATGTAGTCTGATTTCCTTCTTTAGAGTTCTGTCAAACTACTCTTTGTGTTCATGGAGAAACATTAAAACTAAAATAGCTTTGGTCTTCTGTGTTAAAAAGGCTTTTTTATTGGGCTGTGCAGCTGTAAAGAACTTCTCTTAAGAGAAAATTGATGGCATTTACACGACACAACTTGAATGTCTAATCTTAATTGAGTGATGTGAAAAGCATGTTAATAACTAGGCTGCAGTCTTCTGCAATATTGCTGGAACCTCAAAAGAAAATAACTTGGTAGGGTTTGTTGGAAGCAATACCTGCCTTGCACTGTAATTATAAATGCTCCAAAATGTGTGTTGTGTCCATAAAACTGTGTTGATGATAAGAGTGTCCACTTTGTCTGTAAATGGAGTAATAAGGTAAAATGCATATAGAATCATAGAAATGTTTGGGTTGGAAGGGACCTTCAAAGGCTATCCAGTTCCACTCCCTCTGCCACAGCAGGGACACTTTCCACTATCTCAGGTTGCTCCAAGCCCTGTCCAACCTGGCCTTGGACACTTCCAGGGATCCAGGGGCAGCCACAGCTTTTCTGGGTAACCTGTGCCAGGGCCTCACCACCCTTTCAGCCAAGAATTCCTTCCTGATATCCAATCTAACAGTGCCCTCTGGCAATGGGAAGCCATTCCCCTTGTCCTGAGTCCTTCTCCAGCTCTCTTGGAGCCTGTTTAGACACTGGAAGGGGCTCTAAGGTCTCCATAGAGCATCACCTGGCTGAGCAACATTCTCTACCCATGCTGTGTTTGTGCTTGGGATTGCCCCCAGCCAGGTGCAGCACCTTGAACTTGGCCTTGTTGAACTTCATGAGGTTTGCACATTCCCACCTCTTTTGTTTCAGATTTGTCAGGCAGAATTTGTTGATCAGATGAGGTGTGTTTTCATTTGCATGGTGGTTGTTGCCTTAAAGGGAACATAGAATCAGCTTTAGGGGGGAAATGTTGTAAAAGCCAGTGTTTAAATACTTCCAGTAAACCTTACCCTTGCAAGACTTATTTCAAAAGCCTGTGTAAGATTTTTGCCTTGATGGACAAAACTATGTGTATTTTTTTATGCTCCCAGGCACTTCTAATGTGGGTGTTAATTTAAAATTTTTCTGACCATGGTATTGAAGCCAGCCTGTGTCTTCTAATAAAATGAAATCCATTGTATAGTGAAGTGCTAGTTTTGTGGAATTTCCCTGTGAAATGTTAGCTGTTCTGAGGTGTGACTGACTGCACATTTCACCTTGATTAACTTGCAGGAATGCACAGAAGGCAGCAGGCAGGGTAATAGATGGTATTTTGCAATACATGCTGTTTCCTTAATCTGTGTAAGGGATTATTTTGCTCATTTGCATTCTGATTATGGAATCCAGAATCATACTTACTGCCTGCTTCTGAAATAAAGGAGCTGGAGTTGCTATCAAACTTCTGCAGCCATCTAGAGAAGCATGCAACATCAAGTTTTCAGTAAATTCATGAATATCAGTATTTTAACACAGTTCCTCTTTTATGTGTCATAACTGTAAAGCTATTATAGTGCTTCAAACCATTTTTTATGAATGCTGAAACACTTTTTCCTCACCCTGTTTGACTGAGAGTAAGGAAAACTAGAAGGGGAATGCCAGGTGGAAACTAAACTTCTCCAGCAGTTTGCAAACTCTGTGGAATTCTGTTTCCATCTCCTCTTGTATTATATTATTTTCCTGTTGAAAGAAGTTGCTGGGATGGAATTAAGGTGACATCTGCTGTTGGGCTCTTCAGAAGTTTAGGTGAGCCACTCAATGCCAAATGTGACTCTTTTCTCTGCCTCCTGTGTCTGTGGTGCATTTATTGACAGGGTGTTGGGGGGAATACCTGTTTCAAGGCTGCTGTGTTAGCTCTGATCAAAATATCTGCTTGATAGAAGCATGAGTATATCCAAACAGGCTGCCTGGAAATGTTGAAATTCGGTGTCTGAATTCGTGTCTCCTCAACAATGAAGAAAGGGTGTGCCTGATGAGAGTACTGCCACAGTATTTTTAGATGGCTGTTTTGATGTGCACAAATAATGTGGCCTTGAAAAGTCAGATCCTGGCTACTTATTCCTGTTATCTTATAATGGCATAAGAAACGACCATTGACAGCGGCTGGACACGAGCCCAGGTGTGCCCAGGGGGGCAGGAGGCCAATGGCCCCGGGGCTGTCCCAGCCCTGGTGTGGCAGCAGGGCCAGGGCAGTGCCCTCCCTGTGCTGGCCCTGCTGAGGCACCTCCAGTGCTGGGGCAGTTCTGGGCCCTCAGACAGGAGAGACATTGAGGGGCTGGAGCGTGTGCAGGGAAGGGAACGGAGCTGGGGAAGGGTCTGGAGCAGCAGGAGGGACTGAGGGAGCTGGGGGGGCTCATCCTGGAGAAAAGGAGGCTCAGGGGGGACCTTCTGGCTCTGCAACTCCCTGACAGGAGGGGGGAGCCCTGGCGGCAGTTGGGCTCTGCTGCCAGGGAACAAGGGACAGGAGGAGAGTGAATGGCCTCAAGTTGCATTGGGAGTGGTGACGGTGTTTAGATTGGATATCTGGGAAAATTTCTTCATGGAAACGAATGTCCAGCCCTGGCAGAGGCTGCCCAGGGCAGTGATGGAGTCCCCATCCTTGGAGGGATATAAACACTCTGTGGATGTGGCACTTGGGCACATGGGTTAGTGGTGGCCTTGGCAGTGCTGGGGAATGGTTGGACTCTGATCTTAGAGGGATTTTCCCACCTTAATGATTCTAAGTTAATGGTTCTAAGTTCAGTTTTCATCTGACACAATTTGGTGGTCTGTCTTACTATCAAAACAATTTTCACAATGTTAAGGGGGAGGGGATAGGGACCAAGCAGCCAGGGGCGTGGGGGAAGTTTTGAGTTTTTTGGTGACTGACTCCATGGTTGAGCCATAGTTGTGTTATAACTTCAGTTGAGATCAGATCTATGTTAGAACACATGGGTGTAAACTGTGTAGTAGGGATTAGGGAAGGCAAAGTCAAAACACCATAGTTCAATCCTCAAAGTCTTCCACAATTAACCTCGATAACCGAGTGAATAGTATTATTTTCTTTGAAGAGATCTTTGTGTCACATGTTGCCAGAATGTGATACGAAAAGGACAGGAAGATTTTTGTGACATTTGAAGAATCAATATTGTTGGCTAAACAGTCTGTGCCTATTGTATGATGTATATACACAGTATACAGTAAGATATAATGTGGCTTTTTAAAAACTCTGCCTTGCTGTGCCATCCTTTCAGCCGTGAAACCTGATGTGCCAGCCTCTGTTCATGCCTGCCTTTAACACTCTGTCCAAAATAAAGGGAGTTTCACAACAAACCATGCAGAAATTAAGAAATAAAGTAAGGAAGTGCTTAAAATGTGTTGGAAGACAGGTCATAATACCGATTCATCTGATTTTTTTGTTGTTGTTCTTTGCTTGTTCCTTGAAGTGAGCCAGTTACTTTGTGTTACAGAATGTGCTTCTGCCTGTGAGTTTAAGGTAGTGCTGCGTGAGTTGCATTAAGGTTTTGTTGCTATTGTTTCAGTGTGGAAACAAGTCTTTGAAATTATTAACTCAGCCAAACTCAACCTGCATCCTGGACGCTTTGTTTCTTCATTTTAAACCAGCTGTGCTCTTTTGTTTTGTGAGGGTGTGGGTAGTACCTAAGGTGTGATGATGGAAAGTAGATGCTTCATCATGCTCCTTAAAAAGGCCTCCTTGGGGCACTCTTGGCTCACCTGTGCTTATCTCTCTCTCTCTCTCCTCTCTAGAATATGGTATCAAGTTTTCGTGTTTCTGAACTGCAAGTGTTGCTGGGGTTTGCTGGACGTAACAAAAGTGGGCGCAAACATGACCTCCTGATGAGGGCTCTGCACTTAGTGAAGAGCGGCTGCAGCCCGGCAGTTCAGATCAAAATACGAGAACTCTATAGGCGTCGGTACCCCAGGACGATCGAGGGGCTGTCAGATTTATCGGCAATAAAACCCACGGCTTTCAACTTGGACAGTAGTTCCTCTCCTGTGGAGCCTGACCTGGCCGTTTCTGGCATTCACGCACTCCCTTCTACTTCGGTCACGCCTCAGTCTCCTTCCTCGCCTGTCAGGTCCGTGCTCCTCCAAGACACTAAGTCCCCCTTTGAGATGCAGCAGGCGTCCCCTCCAATCCCACCAGTTCATCCCGATGTCCAACTGAAAAGCTTACCTTTCTACGACGTGCTTGATGTGCTCATAAAACCCACGAGTCTAGGTAAGTGTTTACCACCTCTGCAGATGGCTTAATTCATTAAATAAGTGTTGCTGCTGACAGTACTGAGCCCAGACTTAAGTGGCTTTTTGCTCCTGGGGAGAAGTGGCAACACCTTTCCTTTTTCATCTTTACCCTTGCCCTCTCTGCACCACTTGTCCCCAGAGGTGCAAAGCTTCACGGAAAATAGTGTTCTCTTTTGTAAATGTAATATGATTAAAGACCTTTGTCTTTTGAATATTAAATAATAGAGCCACACAGTTTAGTTGGAAGGTACCTACAATGGTCATCCAACTACCTGTCCAAAAGTTGAAGAGTAATAGTTAAGGGCATTGTCCCAATGCCTTTTAAACACTGACAGGCTTGGGGCATCGCCCACCTCTCCAAAAAGCCTGTTTTGGTGTTTGATCACGCTCCTGGTAAATAAATGCTCCCTAATACTTTGTCTGAACCTGCACTTTTTGGCTAAAAGATTTGGACCTGAAAACTCTGCCTGTTACAGATGAGGAATAGTTCTGTAGGGGTCAATAAGAAAAGGATTTCATAGTCTCAGTAACTTACAAGTTGCAACAATGTAAAGAGAACAAGTTCATTTGTCTGTTTTACCCTTATCTCACTGCAACAATTCTGCAGGCTCTGACATCTGTCACTGAAAATACTTTGTGCTGGGATGTTCAGTGTTGAGCTCAGAGCGCTGAAGGTTTCTTAGGCTAAAGGTTGTTGCCATACTGGATGTTATAACGTGGAGTGGACCTTTGTCTTCCAAATAACTTGAAATCCAGTTTGTCTTCCTCAAGTGCCTCAGTCTTCTATGTTTAATTATTTGGAACTACATTTTCTATCTTGAAATTCAACGTGGCTTACCTTAAAAGGCAAAAAAAGTTCCCTAACCATTTAGTAACAAGCTATTTGCATCCTATTAAACATTTTATTTTTGAAACTGATTATAAAGCCTTTTAGTCTGTGACTTATGTTTCAGTGAGGCATGTACTGATCATTGGTCATACTCCAGTACCTAAAGCAGAAAACTTTACTAACAAATGTTATTTACAGTGCCTGTTGTCACTTCTCTATGTCTGTTGTGACACTCTGTTAGAGGAGGGTTTAATATCTACCTGGGTATTGGTGCAATGGCTATTTTGGTGTTGGACAGCTCTGACTTGTGCTGTCATTACCCTTGCAGAGATAACCTGTCAGTGCCACAATGTACTGGATGAGCAAGGAAATCAGATATGAGGAGTAATTGATATGCAAATAGCGGGCCCTTCAGATGTTATAGGGATATGGTAACATTGGCTGAGAATCATTCTAATCATGGACTCCTGTGCAAATTTGGCATCCTTTATTTTAATATTTTTATATTTATGTGGATAGCTTATGTTCCCAGTTAGTAAACCTTGGCAACTGGGACATGGAACAAACAGTTTTTGGGGTTTGGGAATTAAGGATTCAAATAACAAGTAGGTTGGAGAGTTCAGTCCACTTCACTGCAGCTCTTTTAAAAGGGATGAGTGTAGGTATTGTTTTGTACTAACATGGGAGCACAAGTGTAGGTGTGTGGTTTTAACCCCCACTTAATTAAATAGCAAAATATTTCTATGGTCTTCTTGACATGTACTCAAGCATTATTTTAAAATATCAAGTGCCTTCTGTGGCGTGTGTGTGCATATGTGCACAATGTAGCTGTTTGTAACTGAAGAACTTAATGTGTGTTTGCTCCACCTGGGGTCTATTTCAAGTTTGTCTTCTTTTTTTGTGTGTTTTTTCTGGGCATAGAGATATTATCTGCTCAATATTGCAGTGTCCAAGGCAGTCCAGCTCTTACAAGTATGCCTGGTTTGGTTGTTCTACTTTTGCATATGTCCTCCTTGCTGCTTATTTTAAATTGGACATGTCTAGTCTGCCCTTATTTCAGGTCAAGATTTCTAAGTTTTCAAGTTGAAAGAAAGTAGAAAAGTAACATGTGCATACTGTTGACCTTTAATACTAAAATCTTGCTGCTTCCCCTCACTGACAGACAAGTTGGACTCTGATGTCAAAGTTGTAGTTATTTATTTTTTTGCCGGATGCTACTGATGGGTAATTCCAGACACAAAGTCTAGCTGGCTTCTCTGGCACTAGGGGTTGTGGTCTCTCCCTCCCTCCCCAAAGGTTTAGTTATCTTTAGCTGTTTCTGAATTTCCCAGCTGCCCACTGATAACATCTAGTGCACGTTCTCTTCCTGTAGTACATCACAGGAGTTGTCAGCATCTCTGTGGCCCTCCTTATGTCAGGTATCCAGTGTAATATTTTGTGGTGTGTTTGTTTGAACCTTCCTCCCTTGGGAGAAAGGATTGTAACACAGTTTGCCAAGCTGCTTCAGTACTGAAGTGTAACATGATGTTAAACCATCTGAGTGTAGTTGAATGAGTGATTTGTTCCATTGCTTTCTTTGTGACAGTTACATGCAATTCAACCACAATTTGAGTATATTCAATGACTTATGCCTCGTTCCAGGAAAAACTCAATTGCAGATCCTGCTTTAATCAATGACTTTAATCACTGTGGTTCAACCTCTTTTGTGTTTCTCTTTTTCTAGTACAGAGCAGTATTCAGCGATTCCAAGAGAAGTTTTTTATCTTTGCTTTAACACCCCAGCAAGTCAGAGAAATCTGTATTTCCAGGTAAGAAATGAATGTGGCATAATGTAAGTACACTTCTGCAGAATTTCAGGAGAAAGTGTGTGGGTTTTCATTCCTTTTGTTCATCACGTGCTCTGAAGATGCAGAGTGATAATCCTCACTGAAGTTATGCTGAGTTTATCTGTCATGTTTTCAGGAACTACTGTGCATAAAATTTTTGTGCATTTGGGGTAAATCCTATCCCATTAAAGAGTTAACATTTACTGATTTTTAAATAATTGACACTATTCAGAGGGGTGGGAAGCTTCTCTTCCCTGCATGTTTCCTGTCTGCAGGAATGGAAAACTGCTTTTATCGTTTGTCTCAGGGTTCATGTTGTTGCAAGACCTATGGTGTAAACCAAAATAATTCATAGGTGCTTTTTCCTCTCTGGCATCATCAAACTTTATTGCTACTATAAACTCTTGATAGAGGATGCCGATCCTGAAGTCCTGCATAACTTGGCAGTAGCTAAACAGAAGTGTTGCTTGTAAGACTTGTTCATAGCTCAATAAAAGAAAAATGAGAGCAAAGTTTAGTGATGCTGGGGCAGGTGTGCCCAGTTCTATCTGCGTATGACTGGAATATGAGTCCTGCTGTCTTAATGGGTACTTCTCTTTTTTTCTTCTCTTTGTCACAGGGACTTCTTGCCTGGAGGCAGGAGAGATTACACAGTCCAAGTTCAGCTAAGGTACCTTTTCTGTAGTGTTCTCTGAAAACTTCTTAATTGGCTAATGTAACATAAGTGTGTGTGGGGACACTTGAAAATGATGCTTTCTCTTTTTTGTGTACACAGATTATGCCTAGCAGAGACAAGCTGCCCTCAAGAAGATAATTATCCTAATAGTTTGTGTATTAAAGTAAATGGGAAGCTTTTTCCATTACCGGTAAGTGTTTGTATCATTTGTGGCTTCTTGGTGGCTTATGGGGGGAGACATTGTGTTCCTCTGTAATGTTGGCTCTCTAAAATAGTCAAGCTGTTAGTCAAATAGTCAAATTCCTCTAATATTAGGCATGTGGTTTGTACATTTGCTGTGTGAGATAGCCATTACTGCTATTAATCATGTTACAGCCACTGCATGGGCTAATTGTGTTGTAGCCACCTATAGTGAACTTCATCTGTTGCAGTTAACATAACAGAATATGTCAGGAACAAACCAGTGTCTGCATGGAGAATCCTCCTCATAAGTCCTTAGACTGAGTTTATTTGAGGGTGGTAGTCCTTGCTGTGTGGGCAATCTGAGTTTGTGATAGGCTTAAGTTCTTCCTTGTCACAAGGGAACGGCATCACCTTCTTGTGTGATTGCCTTCTTGTGTACATTGCCATGCGTCTGTTCTGGGTAGACCAGAGTTAATTATGGGGATGAAAAACAGGCACTTCTTAGACTTTCAAGCATTTGCTGATACTGGGACAGAACAGTGTTGGCAGTCACACTTCACTGGTGTCTGATGTTGCAGTACATGGGCAGGGTCACCTGCTTGGATATATGCAGAAAGGGAAAAGCACTCTCGTTCTCGGAATACCTCTGGAATAGGCTTCTCTGTTCAAGAGAACAGAGAGAAACACACAACCCACTGGGAAGTAGTTCTGAAACCTATAGAAAATGGAAAAAGTCATAGTTACAGAGGTGTTTTTCAGCAGTGGGTTTGCAAAGATGCTGGTTGGCAGGAAAAAGTGTGAAACTTCTTTTTCGGAATGCTTGTAACCATCTTGGTGTGTCAGATGTGTTGTCCTGTACCCTCCCTCCTCCCTTATGCAGCCATGACTTTTTTTTTTTTTTGTCCTTCTATGCAGCTTAAATGAGACTCTTCAGCTTCTCTTCCTCCTACTTATGTCTTCAGGGTATAAGAGGGTTTCTTTCGTATGTTTTCTGGTCAGTACTTTTTGCAAGTGCTACTTAACGTTCTCTGTGATGACCTTGAACATTTTCTCCTTTCTTTGGCAGATTGTCTTAATTTCTTGCAGCAACCAACCAAAAAGAATTGGGTCTGTTGTCATCTTGTGGACATCAGTGTCTTGTTAATACAGTTTACAGTTTTTATAGGAGTTAACGTAGTTTACACGCTGCTGTGCTGTGTTGTGCTCTCCATTTTGTGTGTAACTTGTCACAGTCATGGCAGAAACTGTAGTCTTGGATTATTGCTTTGCTTTGGATCTAAATCCTGTAGATTCTTCCTGCATGTCACAAGATGATTCTTTCATCTGTTTAGCAGAACTTTAGGTGAGAAAGTGAAAAAAAACGCTGTTGTCTTGGCAACTTCCTTTCCCCTCCTCCTTCACTATGAGCTGAATGACAAATACAGTCTCAGTCTGAGTGCTTCTGCAGACATTTTTTAGTTGATGTGGTCACTGTCTGCATCCTCTCGTGGTTCCTTTCTGTTGCAAGAAGAGTGAGATAACCTCCCTGCCTCAAAGACTGGCATTGTCCATCTCAGTAGTGTTGGTGTTAGGTAATTAACGAGTGATACCAGTCTCTGGTGCCAACTTGCACAGTTCATAAGTGAGCACTGACCTGTCTTTTCTCTGGTATGGCAGTTCTTGCCTCTGCAGGTGTCTGTACCTTATTCTTGGTCATCTCCTTGGCTGCAGTCCTTACCAGAAGCTTCATGGAAATGCTGCCAGTGTGCCGATGCTGGTTCAGGTTGTGCCAGCTCATGTTAACACAGTGTTTCTTTGTACTCCTGCATCTGTGTCCTCCTCTTAGTGTTGGGTCTGAATTACAAGGAATAAATGTAGAGCTTGCCATGCTGGTAACAAGGATTTGATACATGTTGCACTTACAGCGAGGGCTTCTCCTGTTGACATCTCCTGTAGGGAAGTCAAAAGGTAAATTGCTTTTTGTCTCAGGGGACCTCCATGGACCACTGCAGGTCCCTTTCAAAGGCCAAAGTCCAGTGTGGCAGGGCAGGTTGGAAATAGCCAGATAGAAGAGCAGTCTTCTTTCTCTTGGTAAATTTCCTGGCTATAGCAGATGATACCTGCTTTGAATAATATGATTCTTGGAAGAAGCATGGAAGACTTAAGGTCCAAATAATGCTGGCAGTTGCTTGCCACTGGAGTTGGCAGCCTGACTGAACAGGCCATTCTGGTTGTGAAAGGCAAGCAGAGTGCTCTCAGCTCCTGGAGGATAGGAAGGGAAGGCTTCAAATTTGTTGTAGGAGTTTTAGGGTGAATCTGTTCTCAGGAAAAACGTCTGTGGAAGAAAACCTCAACAAAAGCTTCACTGAAATGAATCACATGCACTGCAGAGTCTGTCTCTAAAATAAGAAAAAAATTGGGAAATGTAAGAGAATTTGCATTCTTTTTCTTCTGAAAGCAGGGCAGCTTCACTGTAGGTTGGAGGCAGCAGGGTTATTTTAGCTGGTATGATATGGGTGGAAATACCCTCCTAAATATTGCAGGAATGGTGTATTCATCCACGTAAGCTCATTAGTAGAGAAAGGCCTACTACAACAAGGCAATAGGGATATATACTCTATAAATGGCTGCAGCTGTTTTGTCTGGTTAAAGAGATGGCAAATCATTCCATCTTTTAAATGTGAAATTGTCAGTAGTTCCCGTGAGTCTGCTGCCTCTGTGTTCTGGGGTAAAGCACACGTGGTGAGGTTCCTGGTCACTCATCTGTGGTGAGCACCACTAAAGGCAGTGATTATCCTATGGTATGCTGGTCTAGCAGGTGGAAGAGGCTGTTTTTATCTCTTTTTTTTTTTTTTTTTATTATTACTGTTTTTATTTTCAGACTTACCATGTTTCAAAGTGACTCCTTTCCCAAGCCCTAATCTGTGAATGCATGAGTTTCTCTGGGTAAAGAAATACATGTTTTTCCAGCATATTCTTTCTGGGAGCATTTCTTGTATAAAACAACACTGTCTTGAACTAAATGGAATCTGTCAGTCAGTTCTGTGCAAGACAGAGCTGCAGTCTCTTGTTGGCATCCTTCAGGTGTGGGATGAGTTTGAGGTGAGTTACTGAAGGCTGTCTGTGACCTCAGAGGAGAGATCCTCAGAGTTTCTGTTGCAGACTGGCTTGTTTTCATCGTGACAGATGCAGGGTGAGAGGAATAAGCTGCAAGGCTGATTGCATGGTGCAGAAGTTGGAATGAGATGGTCTCTAAGGTCCCTTCCAACCCAAACCACTCTGTGATTCTGTGATCTCTTAAATACAGCTGATATTCCAGGTACAGTCCTCCTTCGGGGGCCTTGGCAGAGGACAGGTGACACTTGTTGCTAATGGGGCCAGATGTAGTTCGTGCAAGGCAAAGCAGGTACTAAGGAGATGTGGGGCTTTTGGAACAAGACTTTGTTTCTTAGATAGAATCAGTGAAGTGTTTTCACTGTGTGAAACATTGAGTTAACTGTTCATGTCGTGCTGTGTTTGTCACTAAGGCTGTGTCCTTGTGATGTTCCACTCTCTCCCAGTGGGGTACAGGGCAAAAAGGATGAAGCATCAGTATAACCTTTTACTCTTCCAGTGAACTTACCTGGTCCGAAACTGTGTTCTCTTCCACCTTTTCAGCACTTCTGTAAAACCCTCTTAAAACAAAAAATGCCTTATAGTTGTGCTTAGCTTACAGTGTTAGGCTGTCAAAGACTGACATTTCTCAGAATAAATGTTGGATTTGGTCTCCAGCCTAGAGAGCCTCTAGGTTTACCTGCTTCCCACGGATCTGTTTAAAGCAAGTCTGTGTCAGCAGACTTGGTAACACATTAATTGTCCTTTCTTCCCGCAGGGATATGCTCCACCACCAAAAAATGGAATTGAACAGAAGCGACCTGGCCGTCCCTTGAATATCACATCTCTAGTTAGGCTGTCGTCAGCAGTGCCAAACCAGATTTCCATTTCCTGGGCTTCTGAAATTGGAAAGGTAATCTGCTTGTTCTGTAGGAGGTGGGAAGTTGTCTAAATAACCTCTTCTGGCATTCCTGTCCCCCTGCTGCCTGATGTGGCTGGCAGGGCACACACCAGTAAGTGTTTAGTGTTAGGTGGCTGAACTCACCATCAGTGCTAGGAAACAGAGTTTGCTCTAAAACTGTGGTAGTTTTCAGTAACACATATAAGATTCACATACAGATGGAAAGACTTCCTTATGGGATTCACATTAGAAAGCTTCCTTTAAGGGTTTGCCTGAAATGCATGTCAAAAATAGCGAATTCTTTTTGTGTAAATAGTAAATCCCCCTGTGGATTTATTAAGGAAAGAAAGGGAGAGTGCAAGGAATTTCTGACTTCATCCTAGGTTTAAATAATTGTTGCAACACCCTTTCAGCTCTTGGCAAGTCAAAAACTACTTGTTCCTTTGTCTCTGACTGGTTGTGTAAATTCTGAATTCAGTTACCAAAGTAGTTTGCTGCTTAAGTTTTTCTTCAAAATCAAATTCTGCGGACTGAAGGCACCACATGTTTTGAAGTGAGACTCCAGTATAAGCTTTTATATTAAAATTTTAAAAATAAATTGCAGAGAAAGCTAATGTTCAAAAAATAAATGAAAGGACAGTGCTGACATCAAAGGGTGATTTTTCTAAAACAGAAGTGGAGGGAAAGATCTAAGTTGTTGCTTCCCAATCAAAGCACAGAATCTTTAGATGACTCCAGTGCTGTGTGTGGTCTTGGCTCTTCTGCTGACTCCTACTTTCCCCCCTGTACTGCCAAAGCATATTCTCGTGGAAGCAGATGACTTGGAATGCTTGGACATCCTCCCTCTTGCCCTGAGAGGTGAAGTGAGTTCTTTGGTTTAAAGTTGGTGCCAGAACTTGCGTAGCAGCCGCTGCTTTTCATCCTCAAAGTGAGACCCTGGGGGACAGCGTGGGGTGTCAGCAGCTCATGTGGTGTTGGCATGGACTGGGTTGATAGTAAAGGGCTGCTGAGCAAAGGGGGCATAAACCCCTCAGAGCTGGGCAGACTTGAGTCTGTAGTGTTCTCTCTGTAGGTAACGGATGGTTGTTCTTTAAGAAAAAAACAAAAATCCTTGTTTCTTAGTGGTTTCACGTGCAATTAGATCAATTTATCTGCTTCTCTAGGTAAGAGCTGTTTTTCCTCTACATGGTAAAGGAAGAGCAGAGCTGTAGGTGTTGTCTAAAATGCCTGTGCAGTACCCAGGCAGTACAGGAGCCAGAGAAAGGTGGCTGGCAGAGAGTGGAAATAAAAGGTCACGGACTGTGCTCATTATACAGATGAAACCATTATTATCCTGCAGCAGTGGGGCTTGCAGACTTTTCATTAGTGACCTCAAAGAGGGAGTGAGCACTGAACAAAAGAAGCTGGCAAGTGGTGTGAGTTAGGGAGGAGTAGGAAATGCCAGGGAGCAGGGCCAGGCTCAGCGGAGTGAACACAGTGTAACAAGGCTGCACTTAGAAGTGCAGAACAAGCTAAAGAAAAGGTACAAAGAAACTGGGGCAGCTCTGTGCCATCTGAAGGTGTAGTGTTTGCACCATGAAGACCGTATATCTTCTGTCATGTGATCCTTTGAACTCCCCGCTGACACTGGCGAAAAGGGAAGGATTTAGGATACAAATGTAAGAAGTTCCTAAAGAGTGTGTGTATGAGATGTGTCATTATCTAATTGATCTTTTCAAGAAAAGAGCCAAGATTGTCTCTTGGTTGTGGAATTATTTTTCTTAGTTGTCATAACTGGAGTGGGACAATTGAATTTGATTGGCCAGAGGATTCTGACACAGTGTTGGTCTTCCACAAAATTGAACTTGTCTGTCAATGCTTTTAATAACAGTTAAGCAAAAAGTCAGGTTTTTGTTTTTACTGTATGCTACAGCTAGTGTAAATAGTGATCTGTTGACACAGTGGAAGTACTGTATGAAATCAACATTTCACCTTTAATCACTCTCTTTGTAGAGTTACTCCATGTCTGTGTATCTCGTCCGTCAGCTCACTTCAGCTATGCTTTTGCAGAGGTTAAAACTGAAAGGTATCAGAAACCCCGACCATTCCAGAGCACTAAGTAAGTCTCATTAGCTTGCCTGTCTGTACTTCTGGAGGGTGGTTGGTGTCTCTTTAAAGCTAAAACTGGTAATACAGAAGGGATTTGCACCATTTTGAGGTGAAAGTCCGGGCCCAGGTTGTCACAGGTTCCCTTTGCTGTTGCTGAGGCATCACACTTTTTTTAAGTGAGGGTCCCCTGTGCTGGTAGGGAGCACACCCAGAGATCCCATCTGAAATGTCCTTATGGGAATGCCATGAGCACCCCTTACTGTGCTGGGCTGTGAGGTGCAGGTAAATATCTTAAAATTCTCTTCACTCGTACCTTACTCATCAATAATTGTTTCATTTATCTCTTCACATGTTGGGTTGAGCTTGCTCTACTAACCATGTGTCTGTTAGTGCATCTGCAATCAAACAGCATCAGATAATGTTGTGATGCAGTTTGCCAATTGCTGATAAGTAGTGAAGCTGTTGTTTGATATTGCTACGAACTAGTTTCCTGGATGCCTAATTTTTTTAGATGACTGGAAGAAAGTACATGTACCAGTGAATCAAGATTAGCATTTGAAATAATGATATCTGTGTATAACTTCTTACTTTATTTTAATAGTTAAAGAAAAGCTAACTGCAGATCCTGATAGTGAGATTGCTACAACCAGTCTGCGAGTATCTCTGATGTGTCCTGTAAGTATGGCTGGAAGTTTACAGATACAGATTTGTATTTTCATCTGTAGTGCAGAATTTAGAATGCTTTAGAAACCTCACTGGCTTTATATTTTATATTAATGAGCCAATATAAAGTAGTGGGGAGGAGGCTGCATCTAAAGCACTTGGCTGTAGCAGCAGTCACCCAGCTGTGGTTTAGAACTGTGAATGCCTCAGTTGTGATGCACTGAGGCAAGTTGCTGCTTGTGCGTGTACAGTGATGTCTTTAGAGGGAGTAATTTTGTATATTGAGGTGTTGAGGCTAATGGGTCAGGCTGGTTTATAATTAAAGGATACAGTAAAAGTAAGTGAAATCCATACCTCCTCATTTTGGTGGCTGTACTTATACTGCAGCTACTATAGCAAACAAAAAGTTGATCATCTTGTAACAAGGTATTGCTGCCTTGGGGTTTCTGTTCCCAGGCAGAAATTGGTCATTCTGAGTCTTACTAGTATATGGAGCTTGGGAAAATGCCTGAATTTTTCAGTTAAAAGAAAATTGTGAAAGCAGGTACTTCAGTAAGTAGTTTATTAAAAATAGGATCCTAGAAATAACATGGTTGCAGGTCCGTTAGAAATGTTCCTGACTGTTTTCTGCTTTGGGAAGCCTTTGAATGTAGATTAATTGTTCCTTTAGGAGCATTGTACGTCCTGTGGTGGGGTGGATTTGTTGGCAGCACCCTTAGCCCAGGGCTCCTCTGTAGGAGCAAAGAGAGCTAGAGCTGTTTCACCCAGTGCCTCTGGATTCATTGTTAACCATCCAGGCCTGCTTCTGTCTTCATTTTTGACACTCTTTAAATGCATCTCCTGCAGCTGGGAAAAATGAGACTGACAATCCCCTGCCGGGCTGTGACTTGCACACACCTGCAATGTTTTGATGCTGCTCTTTATCTTCAAATGAATGAAAAGAAGCCTACCTGGATCTGCCCTGTCTGTGACAAAAAGGCAGCTTATGAGAGCCTAATACTAGATGGGTAAGAGACTGGCTTTGCAGATTACACAGTTACTTAAAAGTTTTCATTGTGTACTTGACAGCTACTTTTGTTCTTGAGGTTTAGCCATTTCATACTATTTTTTTGTCAAAATGCTTTAGGCTGGGACGTACTGTTAGACTCTGTTAATGTCTCCTCTCATGTAAAGAACTATGTGAGTTATCTCCTAACTGCATCATGAGACTCTTGAGCCTCAGTGTATTTCCTCTGGAGAAATCCAAATGTGACATCTAGGGATAGGTCTTCCTTTCACATGTCCCTATCTCTGGAAGCTGTTAACTTCAAAGTTTAACTCATAAAAAATTGCCAAGCTTGGTTCAAATGGTGATGATTTCTGCTTTTGTATGAAAATCTGTGAATTACAGTAATCTTGGAGTGAAATATGGATAGGTAATCTTTTCTGATATCTGCAAAGGCTGTAATTACAGGCTTTCAGGTAAGAAGGAACTAAGGAGAGAAAAGAGTGGGTGGAAGGTGATCATAATTATCTTTTCTACTGTGTCTCCTTTTCATTTAGAATAAAAATTTCACTTGGACTCAAAAGGGAAAATTTATTTTTCAGGCTCTTTATGGAAATCCTTAATGAATGTTCAGATGTGGATGAGATCAAATTCCAAGAGGATGGCTCCTGGTGCCCCATGAGGCCAAAGAAAGAAGCTGTGAAAGTCTCAAGTTCTCAGTGTACCAAAATTGAAAGTATGTGCATCTGGGTACTGATTGCAAACCAGCAAAAAGTCTTGGAGACTTAATTGTAGCTTGGATAATGTATGTGGGTATTGGTGTTTGTTTTGTGGAGGGCTTAGTACTTCTGACTGTCTTGTAATTTGAACTAAGAAAGAAAGAGTGCGTTTTTGGGCTTTGTCTTTGCTCTTTATAATAGCAGTTAAGAAAATGAAAAGGTTGCTTTTGCATCCCTTAACTGATAAGCGAAGACGAAAGTTTGTGCTTTAATATCCTCAGTGGGACACAGAATGATCACAGAACAGTTACTGGGCCATAACATTCTCTGTAGTGGCCAGGAAGGTGATCTGTAAAGCAGGATCTGAGTTCCTGGTTGTGTTGCAAATAGAAACTGCTGATGTCACCGGCCTTTAGAGAACAGTGCTTTATTTTCTTCTTCAGGTTCCACTGTTGTTAGCAAACCCTGTCCTGTGACAGTGGCCAGTGAGGTTAACAAGAAGAAAGTTGACGTTATCGACCTGACAACAGAAAGCTCTTCCGATGAAGAGGAAGATCCTCCTGCCAAAAGGAAGTGCATATTCATGTCTGAAATACAAGGGAGCCCAACCAAAGGGTTTGTCAATTTTAAAGTTAGTTGTTATTCTGTAATGTCTCAGATAAACTGATCTGTGGAGAAATTTCAGAGGAGAATTTCTAGGCCTCTCCTTGCAGAAGGTTGTATTGATACGGTAACTTTGTACAGGGAGAACACTGTTAAATAGTTTTACACCTCACAAAAGACTTGCACTGACTGTTGCTGTGTTTGCAGGGCTGTTTCTCCATAGAAAAGGAAGCTGACTAATCTAGTGGACAATGTTCCTATGAGAAAGTAGATTATGCCATGTGGAGGAGTTTTGTGCGTTCTTGCTAAGTTAGTGTCATCTTAAAGTGTGATCCTTTATCCTGCTGTTTGTTACACCCTTTATCTAATCTGCTGTGGTGCCCAGGGAGCGAGGCGGTGTGGTGTGTTTCATCCCAGGGAGGCATTTTGCTGTTTTGAATCGAGACAACCTTTTTCCTCCGTGTCTCTGATAAGCTCTGGAATGTCTCGAGTGCTGTTGTTGGCCGTGGTTATCAGTCAGTCCTGCACCTTGCTTGACACTGCAAACGACTTCCCAAGTCCTCTGGCAACTGCTCCATCTTTATAGTCAGGCCTGACTTCAGCGCCAGGCTTAACTTTACTGCTGTGCCACCTTTTCTCTGTCCTGATCTGTGCACCTGGGCTCAGGTACTCTTTGTGGCTTCCATACTGTTCTTGCTCGTGGCCCTTTTGGGCACTAGAGACCTACAGGGAGCGAGGGGCACTGGTCAGGCTTGCCAGCACTCGCTGCTCCAAGCTCAGCTTTTAGTCATGGCTCATCAGTTAGTGTTGCTGCATGCGTGTCTGTGTCTCTCTTATGTCTTGTACTAAAATAGTAGTAAATAACCCCAAACTCTGTCTGTTTTGCCAGAAGAAATGAGCAGGTGCTCTGTGTCTGTAGTTCACAAGAATGTGTGTGTGGGCTTAGGTGAGCAGAGTTGGTCATCTTCAACCACTTTCAGCAGCAATACTGAAATACTGTTGCTTTTTTGTGGGGATTGTGGAGGAATCCTTCTGCAAGAGACTCTATTTCTTATTTTTACAAGAAAAAATAGCTACAAATGCGTCTCCTAATGAGGTTTCAGGAGGCAGCAAGACTTTTTTCCATGCTCCTGTGTTTGAGGTGGCTACCTGCAACTGTAATTGTAGGAGGACTGAGTGTTCTTGTCTCTCTATGACCCATGTGTTTTCCTTGCTTTTTGGGTGTGGATATGGCGTTTTCATTCTTCAAATCCAAGTCAAAGCCAGGCTTTTGGGCAACAGCTTGTTTCCTGTAAACAGTGTTGTCTGCTGGTTTTGGCAAAACCGTGGGGTGTCTTATAGGTAGGTGAAGTGTGAGAGGTGCTTGAGAAGGGAGGGTCTGACATCCAAGTTTCTGACACCAGAAATAGCTTAAAGACAAGAGTCCAGGGAGGAAGACGTGAGTGTATAACACTCATGGCTGGAGGGAGTGATGTGGAGCAGCTGAGTGCAGGATTCTGTGTGTTTCCACCTGACTTGGAGTTTATGAACTACTTTATTCATGTGGCTGGTGCCTGAGCACCTGTGGTGGTGTCTGTAACAGTGTTGTGAAGAGGTCGGGCAGCAGGAGGAAAGGCAGTAAGGTTGGAGCTGGTTGCATGCTTCTGGAGAGCTGAACTTAGCTTGGACTCACTCTTTGAGTAAAGATGGGCTTGTATTTAATTGCCACATGTATAATCTGTGCTCTAGGGGCTGGATAATGGTCAGTCATGCCCTTGGCATGACAGGTTGGCATTGAGGAGGAGTTCTGAGGAGGAATCAGACTGAGCACTCCTGACTTTGGCAGTCTCCACATCCCTCTGGGGGTGCTCACAGACACCCTTTTCTGTCTTTGTCACCAATGACTCCAGCACTGTACTTTGTTTTAATGCCAGCTTGCTCTTATGTCACAGCTGCTGTTGAGAGCCAAGATACGGTCATGTTATTATGAAGACTGTTATGAAAGAGGAAATTAGAGTGGATACTTTGTAGTGAGTAGCCACGCTGGAGTTGTGTTGTAACCCAGTGACTTGTGAATGAGAGTGCACAGCAGTGCGTGGTTTCCCTTCTGCAACTAACGGCCAGGTTGTTTGTAATTTCCCATCCTGTCTGAAACAGGGTTCTCATGTACCAGCCATCCACTGCCAGAGTGCCCAGCGTGACGACGGTCGATGCTGTTGCTATTCCTCCTTCATTAACAGAGTACCCAGTACCATTCCATCACCCACCAATATCCAGTATTTCATCAGACTTGCCAGGTAGGTGCTGGATGTTTTTCGTGTGTGTTCTGACAGCATTATTAATTTAAGGGGGCGGGGGGGGGGGGGGGAAAAAGTGAAGAATTGATTAACGCTTTTGTTGTTTTTTTTTTCTAATGGAACAAGACTATATGCAGTATTGCTCTGATGTGATGTCTAGACAAGCCCAGTACAGGCTGTTTGCCCAGTTTCAGGTTGCATTTTGCAACAGCAGTGTGACAAACGTTGCTTTTGGGGTACAAATTGGCACTTGGGCACAGCAGCCAGAGACTGCTCTCGCTGTGCTCAGTCAGACTTTGTGTAAACATCCTGTGGTTATGCGCTGTAGAAGTGAGGGAGAGTAGTTGCTTGTTTAAGTTACTAGAGTTGCGAAGGTGCTGACTCATCCCAGCCCTTGGTATAGATACTCTGCTTGCTGATTGTAGTGGTGCTCTGTCTAGACTGTATGAAAAAGGTTAAGGTGAGCTACAATCTGTGAGCTGACCTCTATTGACTTTCTTTACCTAGACATACCCTAAATGCCTATGATGTATTCTTCAACACTGCTGCTAAATATCAGACAAAAGGTGGGGATACTGATTGTTTTCTATCCTGGCTCCTTGAAAAGAACACTTGTATATAGGGACTCTGGGGGTTCTCTTGGCCGGCTGTAACAAACCCAGAGCCCAGGAAGTGGTGACTTGTGGTGACAGGTGTCACTTTGGCCTCCTGTACTTCCCCTCTCCCTGCTCCATTGCCTGTTTCCATGCCTCCCCTGCAACATCTCTGGGTTTTTTCCTCTTCTTTCAGCACCAGTTTGGCAATGAGATGGATATCATTCCCCTTGTTTCTCTGTCCATTTTGGCTCCCTTACTGCTCCCTCCCTCCACTTCTCCCTTGTTATGAAATCAGTTGTCTTCTCAAATTGGCTAGGAGAGTAAGCTGAGAGAATGGAAGTCTAGAACTGTTGTCCATCTGTATCAACAGAAGTTCTAGAATGTGCATGAACAAAAGAAGCTGTCAATTCTGTAAATGCAGCTGAGCTTTAAATCTCCTTCAAAATTTCTCTCTAACGGAGAAGAGGAGGAGAGATGTCACTGGCCAGAACAGATGTGGAGGTGAGGGGAGAGGGAGGGAGTAAGTTGATCATTTCTTTCTGTTGACATAGCAAACACAAGGCCAATATTTAGAAACAAAACAAAAAATGTGGTAATTTCTCATTGGTTTCATAATTCTAAACATCTTGCCCTAAATGCTTACACGCTAATGGTGTTTAAGATGGACGCTAGTTGTCACTGCTCTTAGAGGATATACTTTTGAACTACTTGTAGTTTCCTCTTCTTCGTTCCTTTTATTTGTCTAGACACAAAACGGGGATGATATTAGAAATGTTTCCTTATTGGCTGCCCGTGGGTGGAGGAAGAGACCTGCTGCTTGTTTTTGGACTTGTGCATGTTGTGACTTTACTTCATTCCAGCATCTTTAATGTGATGACACTCTTCATGTCCCAGTTTGGCCAAGTCAGGTACAATATGCAGTGAAACTTGCATTATGAACCAACAGCTCCAAACGGCAACCTCCATCTAAGCAACCACATTGAACCACCCTGCAATATCCAGTGAATAATACATCATTGTCATCCTCATTCTTAAAAAGAGCCACTTGTACTAGATAACTTGTTTTGCTGCTGCCTGAAGTAGTCATTGAGAGTGGTGTCACAGTGGTATATTCCATTTAGAAGCTGTGTATCAATTGCAAAATCTGTTCTACAACCACAAAAAAAAAAATTCCTTAAATTTGTTGTGTGTGAATAAAAGAGAGACTTATCAATTTATTATCCTTCTTTTCCTCCTAGGTCTGGATTTTCTTTCGCTAATCCCAGTTGATTCACAGGTAAGTTTCTGAACCGCTGTGGCGTTAATTTCCAAGTCTGATTTTTGTGACATTCTGCTCCAATAATTATCAGGACGCTGTTGTCATCCAAACCATGTTTGCAGTCCACTTGCTTGGACCTAACCACAGACCAGGAAAATCTGTTTTCCCAGTGAGAGCCAGTAATGTAGGTGCACTAAGGAGGATTCAGTTTAGCCTTACTATGATAAATCCAGGCCTGGAAACTCGCTCCTTACTGGCAGTTTTCCTTTCTAAAGCAAGTACATGCTCAGCACTAACTTCAATACAGCCAGGGTGGTGAGGCCCTGGCACAGAGAAGCTGTGGCTTCCCCATCCCTGGAAGTGTCCAAGACCAGGTTGGACAGGGCTTGGAGCAACCTGGAATAGTGGAACGTGTCCGTGCCCATGGCAGGGCAGTGGAACAAGATGAGCTTTAAGGTCCCTTCCAACCCAAACCATTCTGGGATCCTTTGAAAAGCAGAAAGGGGAGGACAGTGGGGAAGTGCTTGTGTCTGCCATCCCTGCTTGCTTACTCTCTTTGCACAGCCCTGGTTCTTGCTGTGCACACCTTCATGGTTGTTCCACTAGAAACGTGTCTGGTGCTTGTTGTAGGGAAGATGTATCTTCAGAGAATACATTTCCCTCGTGCAGTTAGTCTCTTCACTCTTCATTGTTTGTTTCAAGCAGTACTGTCCTCCTATGTTTTTGGATAGTCTCACCTCAACCTTAACAAGCAACACGCCTGGCAGCATCATCACCTCAGCCAGCCACCAGGAGAGCAGCACGCTCGTTAGCTCCTCGGGCAGGGCCGAGCCCGAGGCCGGGGTGATAACCAGCAGCAGCAGCAACAGTGCTCCTGACGTCATCTCCCTGGACATCATCTCCCTGGACTGACACTCGGGGCAGCATGGGGACTCCCGCAGGCATTGCACAGAGCTGCAGCTCCTCCCTCTGGAACTCCAGCGTCATCACCCCGGAGGTCATCCTGGTTTTTATTTTGAAAGGATTTCCCTTCTGGAAAGTGGGGTAAATTTTGTTGATGCCAGGAGACAGAAGCGATAGGTTGGTTGGTTGATTGATTTGTTTGTTGTTTTTTTTTTTTTTTTCCCCTGCTCATTAAGTAGCTGGCGTAGAAAAGGCCCTTGGAGAACATGTGTTTTTGCTTTTGGTTTGTTCTGGGAACACTGCCTTTTTCTTGCTAGGTGGATTCCATAAATGTTTTCTAATTTGGTTGTAAAAAACAGCAATAATGTAAAAATTAATAAGGTTGTGTTTTTTTTTTTTAATAAATAAAGGAACTTAATCACTCTAGAACAACAACCTGGATAAAGGTGCAGAAGTGTATGAGTTAGTGAATTCTTAATATTTTCACTGGGGCCTGTAATAAACTTCATTAAGACAATGAAGCTTTGAAATAGCCATGATGTGTTGTTTGTCTTGTTCCCCACCTCCCCCTTACCTGGGGATATATAAGAAACCTCTGTAAATGGGATTGTTTGGGGGGGTTTTTTCCTAATTTCATGTCTTTCTCAAATGCAACAAGATCCTAGGCTGTGACTTCTTCCTCTTTTTGTTCTTTGGGCTGGGAAGGGGACAGACTATCTATGCAAACCCTACATCACACAGTCTCTGTGCTGTCATGTCGGAATCAGGACACATCCCCACCACCAAAAACTCCCAGCTATGCAGTTGAGAGTACAGTTGTTTCTGTGCCAGCTGTAAGGAGATAAAGTGGGAATTACTTTCTCAAGTGCAGATGTATTTGCAAGGATTTCTTGCTCATGGTTTCTGTCACTTCAGTAATTGCTGTATCCCACATGGGAATACTGCACTTGGACTGTGGGGGAGGCTTGGCTTTTTTGGAAGGCAGAAGCCATAGCTGCACAATGTCCCCACCTAATTGGAATTATGTGTTTAGGGCTCAATGATGCTTTGTCCCATGTTTCCTGGCCTCCTGATTGTTGCTTTTTTACTTTAAAGGGAACAATTTCCTCCTGTTTTACTCCTCCAAGTGTGCTGCTTTGTTCGTGTGTGTGCAGTGTCTGCCATACACCTGGGGATAACCTCAGCAGTACTGTATGTGGAAGAGGTTACAGTCTAGGAAAAACAAGTCATTTCCATAGAGCTGGAATAATGGTATTGTCTATGTATGCTGACATAGCAGCTTTTCCAAGTGGTGTGTTTCTGTTGAATAAATGTATTTGAGATTATTCCTTCCCTAATGTGAAGGTTTCACTTTTTTTCCTAATTTTATGTTCCTCTTTTGTTATTTCTTTAATTGGATGTCTGGTGCTTTTTGCTCTCCATTGCTGTTACAGTATTGAACGAAGTACATGGATGAGAAATATTGAAGCAGAATGTTTTGTAACTCTTGTTTGCCCTGTACTCCCACCTTTAATGCTGCATTACTGTTCCTTATTGCCTTTTTTGTATGATATTTCACAGCAGTCTTGAGTTCACATGTTGGTCTTAATAGTGCATCTAGTCTTTTTTCTTTTCCTTATCTGTTTAATTTTTTGTACCTGTTAAGGATCAGTTTTTAGCATGATTTATTTCCTATAAAACCATGCTTCTCAGGAAGTTTTTCCTGATGACCTGCAGCAGATCAGTGCTTTCTGCATCACCATTGCACAGTGACTTGACCTGTAAGTAGAGTGTGGAGAGGGGCTCCAGAATAAAGCATTTAAAACTGGTCTTTGTTGTCGAAGATGCCTTTTTTTTTTCTCTTCTCCAGACACCAGAGAATTTGTTGGGGTGGGTGGAGAGGGTGGATGGAGGGGGCTGCAACTGAGCTGAGGCCTGCACCTCTCAAGCCCTGCTAAGCAGGACTGTGTGGTAGCTAGATGAGGTTTTGCTTTATTTTTCCTTCAGCAAATTCCCAAATACATTCTTGTCTATCCAAGAACTTCTCACACAAGGAAAATCTCGGAGAAGAAGTTAGATGACATCTCACTACTTTGAGTGGACTATATCAAACATAACCTTCAAGCCAACTGCAGAAGGAGATAAAGGTGAGATAATTAAAGGTGCAGGTAACAGCATGCAGTGAAAGCCTTCCTACACCAACTGGCCTTCCCCACCCCCCCCCATCAGTTTGCTACAACTTTTTCTGCAATTCCTGGAAGTGAGCTGTCTGCTAAAATCCTAGTGACAGAAAGGCTCTACCTTCCTGAAGGCTCTCAGCCTGACCTGGCTTCTGATTTTCATACTCCAGGAGGTTCTGCACTTGTCGAGCAGCAGGAATTCGGGTGTGTCCTGAATGGGAAAATAGTGTGTCCAGTGGGACTAGGGCAGTGCCCTCCCTGTGCTGGCCCTGCTGAGGCACCTCCAGTGCTGGGGCAGTTCTGGGCCCTCAGACAGGAGAGACATTGAGGGGCTGGAGCGTGTGCAGGGAAGGGAACGGAGCTGGGGAAGGGTCTGGAGCAGCAGGAGCAGCTGAGGGAGCTGGGGGGGCTCATCCTGGAGAAAAGGAGGCTCAGGGGGGATCTTCTGGCTCTGCAACTCCCTGACAGGAGGGGGGAGCTGGACGTGGGGTCAGGCTCTGCTCCCAGGGAACAGTGACTGGATGTCCTGGTTCTGGCCAGGACAGGGTTAATTTTTCGTGTAGCCAGGAGGGACGCAGCCAGGACCTGGAGGTTATTCTGTACCACATCAGGTCCTTACTGCAAGTGGGGGGAAAGGGATTCTCTCCCAGTCGGGGTAGTGCCAGGTTGGGCTCCCCCCAGAGCATTTTGCATGTGAATCTCTTGTACCCTTTTGTTATTAGTATTGTTGCTGTTACCACTGGTTTTCCTATCTCATTGCCATTTCCAGTAAATTCTTATCTCAACCTGTGATCTTTGTGCCTCCAATTCTCCTCTCCAGCCACCCACAGGGGACTAAACTAGGACATGGGACAAGAGGAAAGGGCCTCAAGGTCTGCCAGGGGAGATTTAAATTTGATATTAGGGGAAAATTCTTCACAGGAAGTGTTGTTGGGCATTGGGAGGGCCTGTCCAGGGAGGTGGTGCAGTCCCCATCCCTGGAGGTGTCCAAGGAAGGACTGGAGATGTCACTCAGTGCTCTGGGCTGGGGACAAGGTAGGGGTTGGGCACAGGTTGGACTCTATGACCTTGGAGGTCTTTTCTAACCTAAATAACTCTGTGATTTCAATATTAGTGGGAATTTTCTGTATCTGCTTTAAATCTGGGTGGTGGATGATGGAAAGGTTACCCGGAACTTTCCAGCCTTTTGCCATCAGTCTCCAAGAGCAGGGAGGATTCCAGCTGGGAAATCAAAGAACCCATTTTCTGGCTGAGAGGACAGAACCTCAAAAAATTCAACAGGAATTCCTGCAAGAGCAGCAGGGGAGGGAGATGCTTCCTAGGTTGAAAACAACTGTGGATTAGGTAAAGACCACCATTACTCGTAGGTGACTGACTTTTTTAAATGTGGATTTTTGACATGGGTAGGGGTGATCACAAACAAGATACAGGCAACAACAACCACATAAATTGAATTAGGATGTAATTTTTATTTCTTTTGTTTAGTGGGTAATCATGCCATCACTACACTCCGTTAACAATGTGTGTGTGTGTTCAATGTGACCCTCTAAAAGCTTTTCCATTCCCTTCCTGATTTTATGAGGAAAAAATATCAGGACAAAACTGGGCAGTACATCACATGCTATGAAACAGAAGTGATTATAACTTATCTAGGAAGTTACCCACAGGTGGGACACCCTCCTGCAAGCCTTTGCTTTTGTGTGTTTCAGCCACAAGTTGCCAAGGGTGAGAATTTGCATCACGAGGATCTCCAGGCAAAATCTGCCAGTGATCAAAGACGCACTGGAAAAACCTGCCTGCCAGTGCTGTATCTCAAGTTGGCAGTAAAACCTAGTGGGAAGGAAAAAATTAAAATTAAAAAGGGATGAGCCAGCTACAGGGAAAAAAATAAAACTGGGTAATTGTGAGTTTCTGCATAGGCAAAGCCCTAAAACACTGTTCCTAACTGCAGATGGGAAACTACTACTTTACAGGTTATTCTTTCAAGGAGGTTAAAGGGAGGCCAGCTCCCAGCTGCAGAAAGATCTTGTGTGACCAAGTAAATTGGCAATAAAAAGGTAAACGAAATTCAATTTAGGTTGATAGAAAAGTATATGGGGAAAAATATGTTTCATGTGTCTCAGAAACTGACCTGATAAAACTTAAGATCTGTACTGCTTACCATAACTCCAAGAAGTGTTAGTTTAGTGTTCAGAAGTGAAGTGAGAAGTACCTATTAGGTAGTTCTTGTACCTAATAAGTGCTTGTACCTGTTAGGAAAGGAACAGGAAACAAAACATTATGTCCAGTGAAAGCCTGTCCCTTTATTATGTGGTTCCTTTATTATCAAAGCAGTTACTGCAGCAAAGGCTCCAGAAGGGGAACAGAGGTGACCAAAGCCCTGGGCTGGCCTCCATGCAAAGAACACACCTGAGCAGCTCAGACCCTTCAGCTTGGAAAAGGCAGCAGCGTAGTAGGAAGGACACAAAAGGCTAAAAATCAAACAACACGTAAAAAAACCCCCCAAATACTCAAAACCAGCCGCACAAACACACATATAAATTACTCTTCTAAGATGTTAAATGGCCAGTTTATACTTTAAAAGTCAACCATCTCTTATTTCATCACTGATTATTTAAGCAGTTACCACAGTCATGTGCTTTGGCAGAGAAGCACCCTCCAAAATAAAACACATTTCTTATAGTTTTACCATGTGAGAAGTTCCAATTTATGTCCTGATGTCACAGGCTACTCTTGAAGTGCATTTTTAAATGGGGAGGAGGGAAATGGGTCACACACACACTAACCCCTGGGCTCTGTACCACACTGAAAAGCTGAAGTTTCAGGGGCAGCATAAGAAGGATCACATTATAATTTTAAAGGTAGCTTTAAGATGAGCAGGAGGGTGTAATGCCATAGAAGCTACTCAGGCTGTCACTCTGTCCTCCCATTAAAGATTCAGATTGGTACTGAATTTTCTACCCTGCTGCTGCTGGTGACCAGTTCTTTCTTCCGAACTTGCTGCAAAGGAAAACCTTTACTTAAAATGATGGAAACCCAGCCTGGTGTACAAGGAAAAGTCGGAATGTGCAAAAGGTGCCACATTTTTCTGGCACCCTCTGCTGTCACCAAAGCCTAGGGGAGCTGGCTGCCAGGAAAAAGGGAGTAAACTATCTGTTCTGAACTGGAGATGCACAGGCATAACAGGCTGACAAGCACTCTGATAACAACCGTGCCCAAAAAAACCCTCACACTGGCTTAGACACGTTATCACTAAAGCTGCAAAACTCCCCTGCTTTGTCACAACGGGTCTCATGAAGCCACCAATGTGAAAAAATTCTCCATTTCGTTGTTTTGTCCTTACTTGCACAAACCTTTTTCAGCCCTGATGGCCAAGATGTTTTTTTAAACAACTGGTTTGGTAGATTTCCCACCCATCACCCAGCACTGCAGCTTGGATTTTATTTTTAAAGCAGATTTTAAAATCTTGCAATTGCTTTTAGGACAGTTAAGACAAACTGGTAAGTGAATAGCTGCACTTGTTGATAAATAAATACTTTTAGGATGGAGTATATTTTCCAGGCTTTTCATGGAAGAATTTAATGTACTAAGAAAAATCCATTTATTCAAAGGACAGAAGTTAATGTTTAAACGGTTCAAAAAGAGCTTGTTAAAAAAAAAAAAATCTTTGTTGCTCTTCGTGGTTTTCTGGGATATCCACTGTTTGTTATCCTGATTGTTTACAGTGACAGAAAGAAAGGAGGGGAGAAAAAAAAGCACTCAAATCACAACCTTTTCAATGGTACTGGTAATTCATAAAGAACAACATAATGGTGGTGTATTTTTGGCAGCCTCTGGTATTCTGGGAATGTGTTTTTTTACCCATAGCAGCTTCATCATCAGGTGGCCCCTCACAGAGAAGTTCCAAATTCCTGTCAGAATGGGTTCACACACAAGACACAGAAATCTTTCATCTAGTGAAATGCAGAATATGATATTCCAGGTAACAGACCATTCAGATTTGCTATATTCTGCTTCTGTCCCACCTCTGTCATGTTGTTCTTACTTCTTGTTTCTGGTCTCTACAGGAAGTATGGACCCACTTTAGAAGAAGGGTGTCTTTCCTAAAAGTTAACCTGCTAAACTAAAAGAAGTCTCCCCTTACACCCTTGCAATTAAATGAAGACAAAACAGTGTTTTACCCTAAAAACAGGATCCAGAACTAGTTGGCAGAATGTCCTTAGCAACTTCTTTCCCTGTGGGCTAGTGGCTGATTTGCTGAATTTTACAGCTGCTGGATCAAAATACCTAAAGGAGATGTTTATTTTTATTCAGCCAGTTTGAACTTGAGGAGTATCCATTTCTCCTGCAAATTTCCACTTAGTTATTTTAAAAAAGAACCCCAACAACTTTGCAAAGTTTCATATTTAAGCCAAGATTAAAATAGCAGAAGGTGGCTAATTTGAATATAGCCATAACTGTTAGAAGTTTGGGGAGGTAAAGGATGGCTTTTTGTTTGTTTAGGTTTTGGAGGTTTTTTACTATAAACACTTGACTTCAACATGCATTTTTCCAGGTTGGACAGGGCTTTGAGCAACCTGATCTACTGGAAGGTGTCTCTGCCACGGCAGGGAGTTGGAATGAGCTGATTTAAGGTCCCTTCCAAGCCAG